ATCGCGGAGCGGGGCTGCCAGGACGAGCAGTGCTGCTCCTACTCCAGCCAGCTGGCTGTCAACGAGAACCCCCCAACCTACCACGACGCCCGCTTCTTCCCCGTCCTGATTGTGCACAGGCCGGAGGGGCACGACGGGCGGCGTTTCTACATCAGGCGCTCCTCCTGTCTGGAAACCTCTCTGTGACAGGTCCCCATAGTGTCTCAGCTCCTCTGCCCTGGGACAGGGCTTGCAGAGGTGCTGCCAGCAGGGAGCCTGCAAGTGTTGGTCTCCACAGTGGGTTGGCAGGACCCCTCACAGAATCCCAGAATGGTGGGGTTGGAAGGAACCTCTGAAGATCATCCAGTCCAACCCTCCTGCCAAAGCAGGTTTCCTACACCAGGTTACACAGAAAAGAATCCAGGCGGGTTTTGAACATCTCCAGAGATGGAGACTCCACACACTCTCTGGGCAGCCTGTCCCAGGGCTCTGGCACCCTCACAGTAAAGTTTTTCCTTAAATTTGTCTGAAACTTCTGGTGTTCCAGTTTTTGTTCATTGCCCCTTGTCCTGTCACCAGCCACCAACAAAAAGAATCCGGCCCCATCCATGTGGCCCCCACATTTCAGATGTGTATAGACATTGATCAGATCCCCTCTCAATCTTCTCCAAGCTGAAGAGTCCCAGCTCTCTCAGCCTCTCCTCGTAAGGCAGATGCTCCAGGCCCCTCATCATCTTTGTGGCCTCCACTGGACTCTCTCCAGAGGATGAGCTTCAGCTCTTCCCCCTTCCATTGCAAGAGAACGTAGTGACTCTGACCAATGGCTAACCTCATTTCTGAGAGCTTCTCCCCCTCCTTCAGCTGGTCTCCCTAGTCTTTTGTTCCCCTTTTCCTGTCACTGTTTCACTCCTCACCCTTTCTCTGCTCCTTGGTTCCCTGCCTCTCCTCCCATCAGTTCCCTGCCTCTCCTCCCATCGGTTCCCTGCCTCTCCTCCCATCCCACCCTTAGTTTGTTTCTTTTTTTTACATTTCATTCACAGCATTTGACCGCTGTTGCTGCTGGAGGATTTAGAAAGCCTGTGCTTTGCGGTATATTTGCCCTCTTGGATGCCCTGCAAGGTAAGAAACTCAGATAGAGCAAGGCGAAAGGCACGCAGCCAGACAGAGTCAAGTCAGAAGGAGAATTCAGATCTGCAGGTGCTGAGTCACCTCCTGCAAACCCCAAACAAGGTGCTTTTTAGATTTATTTTATTTTCACCAGTCTTTTTTCCTCTTCTTCAGCCCTTTATTCTCTCCTTTCTTCATATTCTCCTCCTCTCACTTTCCCTCATCTTCCTTTTTTATTTCCAGTTTTCCCACTTCTGCTTCCCAATCTTTCTGGAGTTTGGCTGGTGAGGATGTCTTTCACAGTATAACTGCCTTCCATTGGGCAAAAATAAGGTACTCGTGGCACAAATGTCACTGACTGCTGCCACAGGCACAGGCACTACCCCTGGGAAGTGCTGCGGACTTTCTTTCCAGAGCAGTGACACACACCAATAAAGCAAAAAGCCCTTTGCTCACCTTGCCCTGCCTGGTCTGCAGCAGAGACGCTGCGGCGTTTCCAGCTGTAGTTAACCTTGCCCAGCTCCACCCCTGTTAGCGATCGTTGAGACCCATCATGTAGATCAGTGCCCTGTTAGTGCCACTGTTTTTAGGACTGTGGGTCTGGTTTGTGGTTGTTTCATTCCTAACGCTTGCTCAGAGCAGCACGGGCTGGACAAGGGGAGAGGGACTGGAGTGGGAAAGGTAAATATTATGTTAACCTTCTCACTGGTAGCCTGGAGTTGTCAGGAAGCTCTTCCACCCACAGTGTCTATTAGAGCAGTTGCAGGACTTTCCATGTGCCCCAGGGAGGGCTTTTGGCCTGTAGCCCACTGCCACCTTCCCACCTTCCCAGGTGGGATGTGGTGCCACCCCAGCCCCAGGCAGGGAGCACAGCTGGGAGCCAGCTCCTCCGGCCGCTCCTGCCAGGGCTCCAGGCCCTTCCCGTAAGGCTTCCCCAGAGCAGGTGCAGCACCTTCCGGAAACAATCAAATTAGTCCCAGCAATGCCAAACCCAGAAGGTGTCCAGTGCTGACAGAGCGAACTGCTGCACTCTGGGCTGTCCTCCTGGCCCGGCTGGAGACCCCTCAAGAGCCAGGGACCAACCCAAGAAGCTTATGGCCACACTGAGTACCCACCAGGGACCTCACACCTGCCAGACCTCCATCCCAGAAGGGATGGTCGTAGGCTGAGCAAGCTCCATATCATTTTGTCGTGTGGATGCGGAGATGATTATCCACCATGACTCACAGGAGAATGCAATACAATCGCAGTACAGTCACTTCCAGAAGCAAAGTATTCTCACTCCCTACAGCAAGTAGGTAAGAAACCGAGCCCCTGGAGGGGCTACCACCAAATGCTTCCTCCCAAGTCCGTTCTGTGTGTATCTACATGAAATACCAGATTTGTAAAGTCATATTCGTATGTGTAGATTATCTATAACTCTGCATACTTATATGGTGATTTCTTATGGCATTGACTGTTGCACCATGTTAAATACATTTTGTTTTGGTTTGATGACTCTTTTTTGATGTGCTGTGTTTCTTTCAACTCCAGAAATAGAAACATTGGTAGTACCTGGCTAACCTGCCGCGAATGATGGCACCATCGGAAAGGTTGTATAAATTCATATGAGTTGTTCTTTTTTAAGATAAATACTTTATGTATGATTTATGTGACATTTTCATTCTGACAGCTTGGCATTTATCGCAAAAGATAGATAACACATATGATGTGTTAGTTTATCACCTCTAAAAAAGAATAACCATCCCAGACACATGGAGGAACCAGGTTTGGGCTCAGGGTAATGATTATGGTTGGGCTGGGGCCAAACTGGATAACATTGAAACTTAGAGAAAAATCCAAACTTAGATCCATCCTACAGTGATCCAGTCCTAGCTCCCATCTACACCGTGCCACCTACCACCCCCAGGCAGAGCTGGGAGAGTTTGGCAACTAGGAAAGGATCAGGTCTAGACTCAAAAGCTCAGACTCATCCCTGATTTACTTGTATTCTGAAGATGGAGTAAATGCAAGTCTTTAATATGGTTCCCTGCCCTTATCTTCGTTCTCACAGAAAGTTAAAACCAGCATGTATGGAAGGTGTAAGAGCTGGAGGTGGCTGAAACTTCACGAAATGGAGAGGCTGGAATATTTCAACAGAGTTTCTTAGTGAAGGAGGTGGTAGGAAGGAAGATGAGAAAGGAGAAAGGAAGAGATGGTAGAATAATATAAATTAAAAGAGAGCAGAGTTCAGCTGCAGCTAAGATAATTCCCAAATGAGCAGCATAACTCAGTTATGGCAAGCTTAGCCCAGACACAGGCAGGATGAGTTTCAGTCGTCTTGTGTAGCTGCTGCAGCCACCTGTGGCTTTAAATACCATGCCCAAGGTCTTGGCATGCCCAGTTTGGTCCGATATGTATTTCAAGATGGAGAGTTATATTTGTGTCCTCAGAAGTGGCCACGTTAAACAGTATTATTATCCAACATGAACAAGCTCCAGCAGTCGCATTATTATGATGGGTTGGGCAGAGAATGGAGACAGTTTATGCCCAGTTTAACCTTTTTAGTGACCTCAAAAGCCACTGTAATATCCAGCATCTCTCAAGCTGGGTCCTTGGCAGGGCTTGGAAAGCCTAGAGAGTTTCTGCTTCCTTGCTCCTTGTGTTCTGGCCCAACTTTGGGATATTTATTTGAGAAGTCATCCCCAAGCTGCAAAAACCCCTGCCCCATGGAGCTCCCTCCTGTCACTTGCTGTAGCCTCTGGTGGTGACTGAGAAGCTGAGAGCAGCTCCTGTTATGGCCTGGGGCTGAATATGCCAGTTTCAACAGATCACCCAGTCAGGAAGCACCTGAACAACCATCCTGGGTCTCCTACACTGGAGAGCACAGCTACTCCTGAGACCCCTGAACACCACTTCATCGTCATTTTTGCCCTCACCACTGCTTTTTGATGCAGGTTGTGGGATCTGTCCCCTAGCAATGGAGGGGATAATGCTGCTCTTCAAACCCCAAGTGCTTTCCTACTGGGACAACCCATCTTTGCACTGTTGGATCTCAATAATTAGAAGAGGTTGAACAGCAGAGGAAGGTGAGGAAGTCCAGCAAATACTTCTCTCCCTCCTGCCTTCTCTCTCCCCTCCCTCCCACTCTCTCTTCCTTTCTTCTTTTTTCCTTCTCCCTCCTCTTCAGAAGTCTTCCAGTACCGGGAATTCACCTCTTGATTATTGTGCAGCTCTTCAGGCATTTTCTAGAACATGCCTATGCCGCCCAGCAAGGCCGGTGAGATGTGACAGCACACTATTGCAACAGAAGTAAGGAAAGGACGTAAGCCAGGAAAGCACCAGCTTATTTATAAGCTGCTGTGCTGTGTCCTGTGCGTGTGAGCAGTGAGCACTGCCACTGGTGTTACAGCCTGAAGAACAAAGCCACATTGCTTAATTCAGTGCCACGAGAGGCCAGGGGAGTTTATTTGTCTTCAGTTCCTAAAAGCATTTCAGAATCACCCGTTCCTTTGATTTCTGCATAGTAATATTGCACTCCTCTGTAAGTTTTCCCACAGCAGTTTGCACTCCAACTGGCAACGTGTGCAGGATTTCAGTCCAATTTTTATATGGCTCTTCTTGCCTATCGCTGTTGACACAAAGCCCTTCTCAGAAGAGCTGAAGCCAGATCTCCTGCTGAGGAAAATTCCCTTTGGTCTACTGCTTCCAGCACAGCTTTGCTGTCTTACATCAGCCTAGAGTCTGATCTGTGCTGTGCTACAACAGCTTCCTATCCTGTACTCCTCTTTGCAGATGAAAACTCCTTTCCCCTTCTCCTTCCCCTTCCCCAAACCTTTGGGAGCATCACATATGACATTTGGATGAAGCACAACCTGCCTGTTGAGGTAGAGACATGCTCCGGGCACACAGCATGGCGTCAGACCTTTCTTGGCCATTGCCTCTCCAGGTGGGCTTGGCCAAGTCACAACACTTGCCTGCTGTGTCTCCTCTCTCCTGCTTGTACACCAGCGTGTTTCCTGAGCCCACGGGGCCAGTGTAGGGTTGTAAGCTTCTGTGATTGTAAGGCTGTAAGAAACCCTTAGAAGGAAAATGCTGTAGAAAGACAACATCATTCTAAT